TTTGTAGTTGCAGCTCTGCTGTGATCTCACAGCTTCAGGCTCCAGCAGCTGCAGCTCAGTGAACCWGATGTTTTCAGCAGGTTTCATGGGACTGCTTCCCTCCAGCAGTCAGCAGCTTCTTCTTTGTCTCCTCAGATATTAACGAATGCGCTCTGGACCCKGACATCTGTCAGAACGGCGTGTGTGAGAACATGCTGAGGACGTATAAATGCACCTGCAACGAGGGCTTTGAGGTGGACCTGACGGGCAGAAACTGCGTGGGTAGGTGGACGGCTGCGAGTCCCGTCTGCTCTGCAGACAGGATGAGGAATAACCAGTGACTGGTTTCAGATATCGACGAGTGCCTGATGAACAGGCTGCTGTGTGACAACGGGCTGTGCCGGAACACACCTGGGAGCTTCACCTGTCAGTGTCCTAAAGGTTACCGCTTCGACCCGGAGACGGACGTCTGCGAGGGTCAGCGCCGCGCCGCAGCCTCACTTCCTGTCCCACGTGCTCTCAGCTGACAGCGCCTGTTTGTGTGTCCACAGATGTGAACGAGTGCGAGTCCAGCCCCTGCATCAACGGGGAGTGCATCAACAGCCCGGGCTCGTTCGTGTGCACGTGCTCCGTGGGCAGCTCTCTGGACAGCACCAAGCTGGAGTGCATCGGTGAGCAAACGTCTGCAAAACTCAGCTTCACAGGAAACGAAGCAAAGCAGGTTTATCTGTCTGCAGAGGAAACTCTGACCTGTGTGTGTCTGTGTGTATCAGGCCAGACTCACAAGAGTCTCAAGATTTGACTCAACGAGCAGATTAGAGCCTGAACACAAGAGATTTGTTTTTCTGGTGCCATGTATTATGCAGGGAAACAAGTTACATGTGACAGAAATACATAAAGACAAATRACSTTTCACCTGTTAATGTGACAYCTATGCTTCAAATACAAAAAGTCAAAGAAAACATCTTTATACTCAAGAAAATTGGCATAAAACACTTGATTTTACCCATTTTGTCACATAGCTGGCCGATTTTCTTTTGAACTGGGCTCAGCTAAAGTGAAACAGGAAGTGACATCAAAGGGGAACGCATTTAGGGCTGCAACAACGCTGCTTCAGAACCGGTTACTGGGTCAGAACAATGTTTTAGTCAAACAGAACCAAC